AATCAATTCTTACATAATGAGGGACTCTACACCACTACCACCCATATGCAAACCAACCAATCCAGAGCCCATATCCCAAAACATATGCTTTATCTAGCTTTCACAGATATCTGCTTTCTGGGCTACTATCCACTTTCCTAATCACCCCAAGGACAGGAACCAGATGTACAGATAGTCTGTTTGCCCAGAGCCTTTTGAAATCATTCAAACGAGCCAACTGCAAACCTGCTTATTATGCTTTGCCTGTTCTCCCCATCAAAACCACCATAAAGGTTCTTGCCCATGTTTTCCCCTTGTTGTTTATTTCTGACCAGTGCTTCTCCAGTGGCCCCTGTGTGGAGTGGCATGCCATGTCTCCTGTTTGAAGGGAATTGTATTAAAAAAATTGTTCCTTCATGATAGGCATTTTCATGCGTATGTGTCTTGCTACAACTGATTAAAACATATCGTGGGTATCCTTAAAACATATTAGATATAGAACTGACAGGGCTTAGTAACTGATAAACATAATGCCATCTAAAATTTAAATTTTAAAGAACTTCCATCTAATTTTAATTCAATTCTTGTAATAATTTGTGAGATATTTAATAGCTATGCTTTATAAGTGAGAAAACTTAAACTCAAAAGAAGTCAATTTCAATGCCCAAATTCATCCAATAACTCACAGGCTATGTGTTCTTGAGTAAGTTTCTTAATCTGTTTCTCTCCTTATAAGTAAGTGAAGATTATAATAGTATCCACCTCATAGAGTTAGGGTAATGATTAAATTACTCTTAATAAGAATACACAAAATAAGTTAAATTGTAGACACTTCAATTTGAGATATCAGAGTGATATTGTGGTGAAGCTGTCAGATAGTAGTTGAAAATGTAAGAGTAAACTGAATTTCAAGAAACAGATGTAAGAGCTGGAAATTCAGTTGAGAATATTTGCACAGAGATGATAATAAATGAATTGGGCCCCAAAATAAAAACTAAGGACACAAAGAGAAGGTAATAGGGCCAAGGAAAGAAACTGGAGGTAGAAAGAAAGAAGAACCAAAAAAGAAGGATTTAATCAGGAATAAGTGACTCAGTAAAGTTCAGGGTTAAGGAGGGGATATCAGTATGGTCAAATGCCACAGAGAGGTATAAAAGTAAAAAAGTCCATTACATTTGGTGACATTTGAAACCTTTAGGTTATTCATCATTGACCTTTGAGTAGTTTCCATACAGCAATGGTGACAACAGATTGCAGGGGTTAGAGAATGAACACAGAGGCTTATGGTTTCTGGTCTAGCATATAAAGACCATGAAAGTTATCAGTCCTGTCCTCACAAGAAAGACTGAGCAAACTGAGAAGCAACCGATCTTCTTAGATCCATCACAGAATTGAGGTTCAGGCAAACAACCAACCAGAAAGTTGGAGAGGCAGGAAAAAACAGAATCACAACTTACTGGGAGGAAAAACTGTCAATGGAGCCACAAATGGGAGGAAAACTTAAAGGGTAACTGATTAATTATTAGGGATAAATGTATACTAATTTGAGAGGTAAAAACTCTTTGGGGTCCAGCCTTAGGGAAATCCCGCATGTTGTGAGTTTCATTTCTATGAGACCCACCAGGCTCTTAGGATGAAGATCTGAGAAAAACTCCCTGATAGTTTCAGCAGGGGGACAGGAAGCAAACATTATGACATATACTCACAAAGTTTGGTTCTTCTTATCAAAGGCCTGTCATCAAGGAAAACTATTTTACCAGAGCCTAACCAACATGGAGGGAGGGCAACACCCAACTCCAAGTCCCTCTAGCCTTCTAGTTCCATCTTAAGAGAAAAAAAAAAATCTGAGAAGCACTTAGGAAAGTCACAACCCAGGGACAAAGGCGCACTAAAAGACTAAGACCAAATCATAGGATTATGGAACACTTCCTCCCTCCCATCACATCAACAGAACACCTGTCTAAAGACAGAGGTTGCAGTAGGAAGAAATGGAAAAAACAATCATGACCAATATGCTAAGAATTCTAATAGAAAATGTAAGAACAGATGAAAACTCTTAAGAAAGAATCAAAAGGAAATGAACACACAAAGAATGACTTTAAGAAGTCTCTAAGGAAACCTAAAAACATAGGAAACAAAAACAAGGACACTAGAAGAAAATGAAGCCTCAGAAACTTATAGCTACAGCAAATGATAAACATAGCCTAATTCCTAGCCAGATAAACATAAAACTTCACACTAAAGGCTTACTTACCTCAGTTCATTTTACCTGATTCAACCTGTTCAGCTTTCAACAAAAAAATTACAGGGCATACCAAAGGGCAAAAAACAGTCTAAAGAAACATTAGAGCCATATTAAGATACAGCAGAGATTTTGGAATCGTCAAACTGGGAATTTACAATCTGGTTAATATTCTAAGGACTGTAATAGAAAATGTAAGAACAGATGAAAACTCTTAAGAAAGAATGAAAAGGAAATGAATGAACATGTAAGGAAGTAGAATAACAAAACTAAGCAGAGAATTGGGATAAGGCATTGAAGGAGTTAGTAGTTATTTTTACCACAGTAGGAGATTGCACAAGATTGTTCAGCCAATGGGAAAGATTCACTATAGGAAAAATTGGAGTGAGAAAGTAGAGTGATAAATACATGTTTCATAAGATCCCTTCTAAGATCAGGATTAATTCCTAAAAGGAATTAGATGAGAAATAACATATTAGGGCAAACCAATGGTTGTAAACTTTAGTGCCTGTGAAATTGTTTTAATTGCATACAATTAAAAAGTTAAAAAGTTAAAGTCATACTACTTCCCATTTCCCATATCATTTCCCTAACAGGTTATCTCCTTTTAATTTGTCATTATTTAAGAAATTCCCAAGAGAACATAACATTACCTCAGCTACTACTATGAGAGTTGCATGACTTAGAAAGTTTACATGAATTTAACTTAATTTTCCTTTGAGATTTCCATGCCCACAAGTTAAATAATCAGAAAAGAACAATAATCTGTGTTATGGAAGTACATATTCATTCATTTGTTAAGTTAGCAAGCATTTATTGAGCACTTTCTTCATGCTAGGCACTATCAGTGAACAAAACTCTCTGACCTCAAGGAGTACCATAGCTTGGGTGAATGCAGATTAACAACAAGTATATAATATACCAATTAAGATTAGTTTTATGGAGAAATATAATGCAAGGTTGAGGGATTGGAACTGTTGGGAAGATGAAGTAGTATTATTTTATGTAGGGTGGGATAAGGTGACATCTTAAGGAAATGAGTTAGTCATGAGATTATCTGGGGGTACAATATTCCAAAGAACAGCAAATGCACAAGTTTTAAAGTAGGAGAACAATGAGCTTGATATTATGGAACATTATGGAATTAATTTAGAAGGAAGAGCCCCAAGATGAGATTCTTTGAGGCCCTGTAAGGCTGTGAGCTTTTACTCTGAGTGAAATGGAAAAAATCTGCAGGGGGTTTTGAGAAAGGCCATTTAAGTGGTAACTGTACTGTGACAATGACTTGCATCGGAGCAGTCGTCTTGATTTATTTTGCAGGTAGAAATAGTAGAATCTGCTGAGGGAGTGGGGTTTTAGAGAAGTCAAGGGTAACTCCAAGGTTTTTTGCTGAGTAACTAGAAGAGCGGAAATTGCTATTTACTGAAATGGGAAAGAATGCAGAGCAGAAGGGAGAGGGAATTAAGTTCAGTTTTGGATATGAATTTTGAGATACCCATTACGTTCTTTTTTAAGTCTGTTTTCTTGGGAGAGGTGTTAGCTAGAGACATAAATTTGTGAATCATTAGTATTTAGATGATTTTTAAAGGCATATGACAATAGTGGAGCAGTTTAAAGACTAACTCGAGCAACATTCCAATATTTGGATATGGGAGAGATGAGGAATTATCATCAAAGTATTCTGAAAGGGAGTAGCCATAAACTGAAATAGGAGTGATGTCTCAGAAACCAAATGTAGTAACTCAAAACTCAAGAAGGGATAAATGAGACCTATGCTAAGTACCAAACTGACAAATAGCCATTCCATTTGGCAGATCGGCTACTGTTGACCCTCACAAAAGCTATTTTGGTGTAGTAGGCTAGACAAAAATCTGAGTACCATATTCACTGGAGAATGTAATTTTCTCTCCCAAGAACTCTGAACAAGTTCTGCTAAAGAGGGAGTATCTGAGATGGAAATTGGAGGGCTGTTAAAGGTTTGAGAAGAGATAACAAAAGTGGTCTGGAAGAGTTAAAGCATGAATGCGTTACAAAACTTAGTGGAATTGCTGGGCAACTCTAAGGTACCATTTCAAGTTATAAACGGGACAAGTCTACAGAGCTGTATGCTTTTCCCCAGCATCTCGTCTGTCACTGGAACAGCAGAATGTTCTAAGCAGGGATGAGCTTTAAGGCAGGGTGGTAGGAGGAGGCAGAAAAAAACCTGTATTACAGAGCACAAAGTATTTCATGTTCAGTCTGGTGGCTCACAGAAGAGAGGATCGGACATTTGGGCACAGCACGGAGGCAACAGACTGCAGACAGAAAAAAACCCCAGGAGTGATAGAAGGTTAGTTCTAAACAAACTAAGTCTTTTCCTCACAGACCGAGCACAGCAGGAGTTTGAAAAATTTTGCATTAGGCCAAGGAAGGAGACACTGCCGCCTGGGAGCTTTGAGGGGTGCTGACGGAACCCAGATGCAGTAAGGGATAGGCCGTAGAAGGGCTCTCTCCGGGACACAGGGCGATGACTAAGGTTTTAGAGCTGGAACTTACAACCCGAGGTTCGGCTGCTTGCGGCTGTTAACCGGAGAGATGGGCATGGTGGCGACCGACTGGGGAGTGGTCACCACCCGCTACCCTGGCTGCTTCTGGAGTCCCTGTGCCTCAGACCCCGTCGTCAGCGGCTCCGGCGCGGAGGGAAGAGAATGTTTGCGGGCGTCATGGACACGGAGGAGCCCGGCTCAACAAGCGGCCGCGCGGTTGGTTGGCGGCTGGGGGCCGAGGAGGGGGGCGGAGACGGAGGGGAGGGCAGAGGGTTGGTGGAGCAAGAGGAAGCTCCGGACGACGACTAAAGAAGGAGGCGGGCGGCCCGGGCCCCAGGCCCCTCCCAGGCTCTGAGTCTCCCCGGCTGCAGGCGGATGGATGGGGCTTCTTCAGGCGGTGGTGGCAGCACTGAAGGTGGCGGCAGCGGCAGCGGCTGTAAGTGCAGTCTCCACAAACCACCCGTCTCCCCTAGTCCTGTTAGGGATGAGGGGCTCCTGAGGTGTCCTCGGTCCCCTTTCTTTCCTTCCCCTCCCCCACCTCAGAGGACCGCCCGGAAGACCCCTAACTTCCGGGGAGGGGCTGCGACAGAATGCTCCCAGCTCGCTTCCCCTCCCGGAGTGCGCCGGCCACGCAAGGCGCATGCGTAGCCCGTCTCCAACGCCGACCGGTTCGGAGCCGGATCTTTTGCTCTGGCGGTAGCGGCGGCGCCGCCGTTCTGCCGCGGCGGCTGGGAGTCCGCTGCGGTGTGAGTTCGCCTCAACCTGTTCGCTTCCGACCCTTTCTGCTGTCGGCCCCTGAATTCCCTTGGGGTGGTGCTAAGCTGACCACCCACTGTGGCTCCCCCTCTTTTCCCCTGTGTCTCTGGGTTCTGTCGTAGTCTGTGGGAGGCTCCTACTCGCCTTGTAGCCGGATGCTGGGCAAACCGGCCCTTTCCGGGAACTTGTGGAAGGGTATAGAGACTTGTAAGAGGGCGTTATTGTGAGGGAGGGAGGTTCTCCATCCCGTGGATATAGATGCCTCCCGCACCTTTGAATGGCCTTGTTCTTTCAGTTTTTAGGGGAAAGATATTTGGCCTAGAGTCCATCTCTCTTTTTTTTTTTCTTTCTTTTTTTTGCTGTGTGACCTTAGCCGAGTAACTACCCTTATCGTGGGCCCCAGTCATCCCTAGCAGCGCACCCTCTCCCGCCCCCAACACCAAAATTCTTGGTTTTGCAGAAAAGCTTATGCGGTTACTGGACTGGTGGGTCTGTTGAGGCCGCTTAGCTGAGATTACCCTGAGTTGACTGAACCTTCTTTTTTCAACCCTGGGAAAAATGAAGCGACCTATTAATTGGGTCGCTTTTATTCCTTTACCGTTGGTTACAAATTGTATGACCCAAGGTTCGTTAATGGTTTCCCAAATTGTCATAGGAACCTTGTCCTAATTCCTGGCCATCTTTTTAAGATTTAGAGGCTGCGTGCAGGGTGAGCTTGTGGTATCATCGTCTCTGGTCTCATTACTACTGAAGCTCTCTTTCCTTTGATCCAGATGGTGTGGTGGCCCGATTCTCCCAGTGCCTGGCAGAGTTTCGGACGTGGTTAAGAACCAACTGGTTGAGGTTCAATGCAGACAAGACGGATGTGATGCTGGTAGGCAGATTAAGGGAGGGAAAAGCCAACTCCCTCAAGTAATATAAATATTACATTACTCTTCTTAAATATGTTCCAGAGTTTGAGAATTGCTGATGGACCAATAATTTCCAGTGTTTGGGTGACGTAAAAGTAATGTCAGCAACGTAAGAACTATAAAAATAGCTGTTAGTGATAATCTGATAAAGTGAGGCCACTGGATAAAACTTTTTATGTAAGAATTTTGAAATGAAAAAACCAAAACTGTTCTTTGAAGAACCGAAGGGTTATATGTTTTGGGGTGATGTTAATAATAAAAATCAAACTAATGATGCTGATGGCTGCATAGATGTGGGGCTACCAAATGTAATGCTGATCTGTAACCCGCATTCTGCCAACTAAAGTAAGGTAAATTCCCAACTTATCTAAAATGTCGTTTTAAAAAAATAGGTGAAGTGTTTTGGTGTGTAGGTATTTTCTACCAAATTACTAATTATCCGTAAATTTTTACCTGCATATCATATGTAGGCTGTCACTTCTAAATAAAAATTTTAGGATATAGTTTACAAAATAATCTCAGAAGGGACTCATGGACTCTGAAAATTATGAGATAAAGAATTTGTTCTTTGATTTTGACTATGCTGTATTAATCTCCTTCAGTCAAACAGCCCTAAAGTCTATAAATTGTTACAAGTGTTTTCTTGGTGCATCTTGAGAGGTACCTTTTTGAGTTGCATATATTTATAGTATAGATATATATTAATTTGAATCAGGTGTTCGTATTGAATAAAAGGTTGTATTTCTTAGGCATATGTAAATTGCCAAAGTTTATTTATTGTTTAGTTTAAGGTAATGGTTTAAGTAAAATTATGACCTTAAAATGCTTTTAACAGCAAAATACTCTGAGGGTGTGTATTATAGCCTGTATAAAATTGTTTAATTTTTTAATGGAGCATTCAGTAAATTGCTTGAAAATAATTTCCCAATATAATAGATTTGAGGAGCTTAATGTGGTAAATGTTAATGTTAGTTTGCTGGAAAATAAAGAAGCCTTTAGGTGGGGATTGGGACCTAAAGAGGCATTTATTCAGGCTTTGTATAGTGATTTTTTTGTTTTGCTACATTAGTCACAAATCTCATAAAAATTGGAGTTAACCACACTTTTGCTTAACTTTAAACATTTTACTAAACAATCCTAACAGAATTACCATTTGGGTATCACATTAATAAACATTATAAACTGTAATAATTTTAAATAAGATATAGGAAATGGTGCATTTTTCATTCCTTTAACTCTGATGTCCCGTTTTTAGCTCTTGTAGTATCGGTAGGCTTTAAAGATTTATTTTTTGTTAACCCAAGTGTATAAATAATTGACTTTGCATTTGAGTACAAAGAAGACATCTTGAATTAATTCAAAGTGCTGAAGAACTCAGGGTAATGGATGGAAGTAACAAGAAGGTAGATTCTGGTTTAATGAGAGAAATGTCCCAAACATTAGGGCTTTCTTTGAAAAGACAGTCTTTTCATGAGAACAGTGAGTTAAAAGGTAGGCAGAAAAGCCTGCTGGTAGGGAAACAAAATGAGGGATTCCTACTTAGCCAGGGTAGAAATTGACTAAGACCTCTAAGATCCCACCCAACACTTAGATTCTATGGGTAATGAATAGTTAATTTTTATTTATTTGATGCTGAAGAGGTAAGCAGAAGTTCTGAGAAACACTTCTCTTAAGGTGGCTCCTAAAATTTTTAAAGATCAGTATATCACTAGAAAAAAATGGGAGAAGAATTATATTGACTGCAGTGGTAATTTGTAACAGTGATTACAGTGATGACTTGAAATATTGGAGCTGTTTATTTTTACTTTTAGAAAATTTGAACCTAAAAAGAAAAATTGATACACAATATTTTAAAAAGTCACTTATCCGTAAGATGGATACCTGTGCAATTATGTCTCAGACCTTGATGTTCTTGACAGTTTCAGAATTCATTCAGTTTAAGGGATGGAGATTCCCAGCTTTATAACACAATTGGAATTTTTTTTTTTGAGGTTTAACTGAAGAGTCAGTGATTAAATGGGCATAAGCAAGCATATTATTCCTGTACTTTGCATTTTGACAACACTTTGTATTTCCTATTGGTAACCAGTTAAATTTCTTATATTAACTCTTGTATTTTAAATGAAAAATCCTTCTTTATTCTCATGGTGTTATAAAGCCTGAGTTTCTACCTCTAGGCCCCTTATTATTTTTATCTTTACCCACCTCAAGTCATGCACATCCATTGTTCTTTGCCTTCAGCTGTTTACATAAAGCGTTTCAGTGAAAACTCTTTGAATATGAACTTTTAAAAAAACTCACTGTTAGTTTGACTGACCAAAGGACTAAGGTAATTCAACAGGGTAACTCTTAGAAACTATGCTAAAATATTTATTTTCCCAAGGAATCCTGTAAAACACTTTGATATACGTATCCTAAAAAATAAAATGAAAATACTGTACAATACAGTTGATGGTAAAAATTGTTTGTAGATTTGGGAACCTTAAAGTTTTCCTTTCTCTTCTTTCCCTTGCTTTTCTTTCAGTAGAAAATGTGCATCAGATGTTTATGTTTAATTGGTTTACAGACTGTCTGTGGACTCTTTTCCTGTCAAATTACCAGGTAATGTCCTTTCACTTAGCAGCTACTTCATATACCTGTAAATGCACAAATTATTGGACATAAGAATTTCAAGTTAATGTTGAGTATTTGGAAATAGGAAATTGCTTAATAGAGTCTAGAATTTTAAGGGAATACAAATAACAGCCTTCCCCGTGTTGCATTTTAAGTATTAGGAAACTGTATATGTGTACATTTATGCAATATATTATAGCACTGGCATCACATTATTTGGGGAATGGTTAATTTTCATATTTAACTGATTGATTTTGATGTCATTTTTGAAATTGCATTAAGAGGAACTCTTGAACATTTGTGGAAATAGGGACTTTTTGAAATACGACTTTTTAACTCCTGTTTTAGTGAAATATGTTACTATGTGTTTTAACATCACCTTTGCATAGTAATAGAAGTGAAACGTGTTTTATTTTGCAATCATATTGGCTCTAGCAATCTTCAGAATTGGCATCAAGGCCTGTTGGCAGTGCATCTAGGTCACTGCATTAAAATAAACTTTCAGATTCCTGGCATTGCAAATAAGCAGGGTCTCCCTCCGTGCAGTCAAGGCAGAGATTATTTATATCCATCAAAGAGTAGCGTTTCAGTATTTCATCGTGGAAATGTTTTCTCTAGTTGTGCAAAATTGGACCGTTGCACAATTGCGTTGCTACTGGCATCTCAGAAAGTGAGGAAAAAGCAAGAATGCAGATGACTTAACACAGTCCCTTTTCCTCATCCTTCCTCTAACCTCCAAGTTACTGGGATAATGGGATTTTATATTTCCTCGGGAATCAACCGAGAAAGAAATCTTTGTCAAAGGATAACCGCTTTCAAAGCGGGCTGCTCGCCGTTGCATCTCAGCAGCACCCGTTTTCCAGCAAATGCACTTCAAGAAAGGCCTACATGTGAAATACAACGTATTTTTTCTCTGCGGCGTGAATGCTGGACAGGGCTCCCGTGGCACCTTCCGTGACCTCTCAAGTCCCGAGAGACCGCTCCCGCGACCGTAGTTGCGGATCCGCTAGGGCAGGGGAGGTGCCCGGCGCGGAGGCCCGCCTCTCTCCACACCCACCTTGACTCCGCCCCCTCCGCGCTCCTCCTGGGAAGAGCTGCCGCGGAGCCGCGCGCGCCCTTGCTCCCGCCCGCGCGCGCCGGCCTTTTCCCTCTTGTCCAGCTCTGCCGGGGCGCCGCGAGGGGGCGGAGTGGGGTGTGGTGGGCGCGCTCGGGCGGCTCCTGCGCGTTCCCGCCGAAGCAGCGGCGGAGACGGCGGCTGCGGCGGTTGGTGTCCCGTTGCCGAGTCTCACATCCGGGTTCTGGCCGTGACCCAGCTGCGGCCACCGCGGAGATGTGACCCGTCAGTACGGCAAAAATGGCGGAGGTAAGGGAGCGAGCTCCCCCTCCCAAACCTGGAGCCGGGCGACCCCGGCCCCGGGCCGGCGAGGAGGGGAGTGGGCCTGGCTAGGAGAGGCCCAGCCCTGCTGGCGCCGCTGCCCACCTGTTGTCCGGAACAGGCCGCGTTCTGGGCAGCAGCTTTCCTGAAACTTAGTTGGGATGGGTCCGGAGGTAGGAGAAAGCGGAGGCGTAGTTGTACTTTGGGGGCAGTTTGAAGGGTCAAGTGCTGCGTAGTAGTACGTGCGGAGAGGGGCGAGGGGGAGGTGGCGCCCGCCGGGCTGGGGCGCCGTGGCGCAACTTGGTCGGTGCCGGGGGCCGAGAGAGGAGCTGTTGCTTCCTCCTCTTGCGAAGTTTCTTCCCTCCCTAACCGAGATGCTGTTGCGCCCTTCCGCGTCACCCCCACCCTTTGCTACTGACATGCAGTCCGTTGGTGGGGAAAACGTAAGGCAGGACGGCCTTTGGTTAACTAATTTTCCCGACGGTGATAAAATGAGCGTAGATAAATGAACATTGTCTTTTCGTAGTCCAGCCCTCTAGATTAAGGAAGTCCTCCCGTTTCTCCCAACCGTTCCATGCCTAACCCCTACCCGCGCGCGCCCAAGGTAGAATCTCTTTTTCTCTACATTTCAAAAGAGTTGCTTTCTACCTCCCCACCCACCTTCCTTCACTGTCCACGCGTTACTCCTAGCACCACACCACCAAATCAAGGCTATCCTTGGCTTCTTTTCTCGTCTAGTCCCCCCCACCACACTTGGGGAATAATTTTTTCTTTTTGCTCTTTTTCTAGTAAACGAGTTCCCAGAGTGCCCTGTCTTCGGTGGTAATTGTTTTACATTTTGGGGCCTCAAATCGATGAGCAGCCAACCCGTGTTAAATATTAATTCGAACTTGGTATATGCTGCTGAATATTTAAATTTTTGCCTCTGACCTCAACCTTTAAACATTTGTTTTAACTTTTTTACCCTCGGAGAAATTTATTTATTCTTTATCCCCTGGAGTTCAAGAGGTGATATGTTTGGACTTATTAGTAAGTCTTCTTTGAGTAGAGCCACCCTAAATGATTGATTGGCATTTCTTTTGTGTGATTTTCATTTTCATGGTCTCAGGGGTACCCAAGACAGATGCAGGAATTAGGTAATTTTATTTACCATCAAGTCTTCAATTTTCCTTTTCATTATATGCTAAATGAAGTCAATGATAAGTACATTTGTCAGCATCATAATACCCTTTTTAAACCTTGGTATACAGAAGCATGGTTAGATTTTGGAAAAATACTAATTCAGAGGCCTTTATATGTACCTGCTGAGGGACCCAAAAGTTAACTCTTTTCTGAAGTGGATCTTAGGGTGCCCCTTCTGCTTGCCTTATGGAACTGGCTTTATTTAGTATTTACTATTTATTCTAGAGTGTTTGCTGTTAAAGGAGGAAGATCTCTTACTAGCAGGACTGCTTGCTGCTAATACTATTTTTTAAAAACTTGATATTTCTGATTTAAAACGAAATTTAGGTCTTAGATATATGTCCATTTCTTTTGCTCTTTGTGGTTAAAGAATTGTATTTCATGTGAGTTGGAGGAAACAGCACTTTGTATTTGATTTAGATGCAACTGTATTTATTCCACTGGGCTGAAAGAATTTCAGTTCTGGTGTGGTTCTTATATGTTTCTTCCCTTGTGTGTAAGAGAGGGTGGGGGTTGTATGTAGCTAGATTACATGTATTTTGTCAAAATAATCTTCAGGGGATCCCCTTTCAGTGAATGCCCATTATACAATGCAGCAATGTGCTCTAATGGTGTAGTTTCTTCACTTGGTGGTGCTGCTAGCAATGGTTTGAGCTCTTAAGTTCTGTAATCATATTTTAAGGGAAGATAATTATTGAAGGAAAGTAGCTTAGTGTATGAAAATACAGTGAAATGTAAGTTTAAAAAACTTCATCCAAAAACTTTTGCCAGCACACTGAAAAAGTGCCAGCACACTTGAAAACTTAATAGGTTGGTGAAAGTATGTTAACATTTTACTTGTTTTAGAAATTAAATATGAATATATTAACGGAAGAAAGGAAAAGCAATATTGTGAGTCACTAATTCTAATATTTTCAAGTGTCTATTTTAGTTTTCTTAAAAATAGCATCAGTTGAAGAATGGAACTCTCATATTCTGTAAGAACACAGGGATGGTTCAGTTTGAAGAGGAAAACGTGAATTTTATTTCTAATGCATTTATTTAGTGACCTGCTGTCTTTGAAAAATTCATTTTTTATACTCTTCAATTACTGTTGGATGGTTTTATTTATAGTGAATTTAGAGGAAGAGTGAAGGAACTTTCCATCTGTGTCCTCCAAAAATACCTGAAGCAGGTGAAGAGGTGCAGGGTAAAATTAATTTTTTATTTTCTGGTTTCAATATTTTAATAATTAGGATGGTTTTAGAGACCAGTTTTTTAAAAAAATGCCAGGTTTATGGAGTGCTTTTACTTTTGTGGGAAGCTCTCAGGAGATTCATTTTTTATGGTGCCTGTATAAAGCATGTGGCAAAATATTTCAGATGCTGTGCTATTGCACTTTTGGTTAAATAGACCTAACAGTTGAAGCTAGCTAGCTAGTGAAATAACAGTAAGTGCAAAGCAACAATATGCATTTGGGAAATCTAAGGGGAAAACGGGTTATTGAAGTGTGTCTCCAGAGAAAAATGTAGGCATTACACTTCTGGGTTTTTTTGTTGTTTCCTATATAGAAAAATGACCCTGATCTTGTTTTTCCAGAAAAATATTTAGTTCTTGAATACAAATTGCTTTAGATGTGACTCGAATAAACTAATTTTTTATACTGGATCTCATTATCTGTCAGTCCATAATAGGAAGTATGTTAATGGTTCTTGAAATTATGGTAACATTAAGAACATACTTAATGGGCTTAGAAGAAATGGCATATTCTCCCTTACTACTTTTTGTTATTTCTCGTTTATTATCCCTTAAAATTATTTATCAATCTCTTAAAAAAAGAAGCTCTACTAGTCACCCTTAAAGGAATGAAATTACAGGGTAGTCAAAGTTTTACAAGGGCAGTGAGGGAGAAAGAATAAGGAAGAAATAGTTGATCCTTTGGGTTTTATAAGGAATGTTACGTTAGGGACCTTTGGGAACGAACAATTTGTCTTTCATTTCAGAGTTTGTAAACACATAAGCACCTTCTCAAGGAAAAAAGCCACAGCATAGTGCAAAGATCTATCTTTTCATCTAGGCCAGAAGGCCATCATATAAAGAGAAAAAAAATTAATGGACTTAAATTAATGGACTTAAAAAAAAATGAAGGAATTTAGTATTTTCAAAAATGATACATAATCTATTTCTCTTTAAAACAGACTCCTTAGCATTTTTTTTTTTTTTTAGTGTATGTAGGTTTTTTTTTTTTTAAGGAAATAGGATCAGGATCATCTTGACTGCTATTTTTGCTAGTATTAATTTCTACTCTAAACAAAAATTGTACTGCAGTGAACTGAGGTCTTAAATCTCTATGTGATAATGAACTTTTATTTATATACTTCAGAGCTATCAAAGATTTATCCAAAGTAATTGAGAACATCAATGCCTGAGAGTCCTAAAAGCTTCATTCAGA